TCCAAATTGTACCTCCTCCAGGTAAACCATACCAAGTAGCTCATGTGGATGTACTTACCATAGAACAGGATAAATACCTAACAATCATAGACTCATTTTCAAAATACGCCCAAGTATACCGACTACCAGATTGCACTGCCCCCAATATAGTCAAAGCTCTTTTGACTTTTGCTACTCATCATGGATTCCCAATGCGTCTAGTTACAGACCAGGGAACAGAATTCACAAATCAAGTAGTGAGCGAGTTTTTAAAATTACATCAGGTACACCATCATAAAATAGCTGCTCATGCTCCCAATGAAAATGGCATGATAGAACGTTTCCATAGTACTCTTTTAGAACACATTCGTCTTTTAAAATTACAACACAAAAACGAACCCACACAAAATTTAATTCCATACGCAATAATTGCGTATAACAGCTCTATTCACAGCCTTACTAAATGCCGCCCATTTGACCTTATTACTGGTCATTTTGACCCCAGAAACCCGACTGACTTAGACTTATCGGAACGACTTTTACAGCAGTACTTACAAGAGCATCGTAGTAAAATGGACACAGTTTATAATATTATACATGACTCATCTTACGCTGAGCGTACAGGCATTATGGAGCGACGCAACATAGACCGTGAACCTGAAATTCAATATAGTCAGGATCAAACAGTCTACATAAAAAATCCAGCTGCTATTAGGCAAAAAACTGCACCCCGTTATACACAGGATAAAGTGATTTCTAACCTTCCCATACACATTTATACTTCCAAGAAACGGGGACCAGTAGCTAAAACTAGACTCAAGAGAGATAAGAAAAATAAAGACAGTCAATTGTTACAGGACCCTGCTACTAATGGCGGACCTGGACCAAGCACAAGCAGGTCCACTGACTGTAAACGCGATCCGACTTGATGACCTGTCTGACGGACCTGGAATTCTGCCTTTTAAACTTGGTTCGACTAGAATCGTATCCCATGACCATACATTCCTCCACGAAATTGACCTAGACAAAATTCAACGACAAATTGACTTACTGCAAACTCAACTTACTGACTTAGCTAATAGACTACCTAACCAAAAATTCATTTTATATAAATATCAAATATTGCACTTATTCAATAAACTTAATAAAACTTCACTAGAGTTAGAAACTTTCGAACCAAAAAGAGTTAAAAGAGGTATTTTCAATCCTTTGGGAACGTTTGTTAAAAGTATATCAGGTAATCTTGACAATGAGGACGCTCTGAAATTCGAAAATGCTCTTAAAATATTACAGGAAAATGATCAAGAGCTTTCTGCTAGCTTCAATAAGCATATAAGCTTATATAAAGAAATGACTCTCCAACAAACTCAAATTTTAAATAATATTACTTTTAATCAAAGGAAATTAGAAAAAGCAATAATATCTTTGAGTAATGCATCTATTAATGATAAAGAACAGATGTACCAATATGCTCAAATTTCACAACTTTTCAGTATAGTTACTGAAAATGTTCAGGAACTTTCAGCCGAAATAAGTAAATTAAGTAATATTGTAGCTTTCAGTCGCACAAACGTAATGCACCATTCTATTCTACCTATAAGTGACTTAAGAAATATGTTAAGCCAGCTTAAAATAATCTATAATCCTGGCACATTATTAGACTTAGATATCAGGTATTACTACGATTTAATTTCAATAGGCTCATATTTTATTGATAGAAAAATTGTAATTGTCCTTAAATTTCCCATAATGTCCCTTGAATCATATGATCTGTATAGACTCTGTCCTGTTCCAAATAAAAACTCCGAAATTATCCTTCCACCATTCCCATATATGGCATCCAATTCCCAGGAATTTGCGTACATGGAGGCTGAATGCCCGAAGATAGACACCTGGTACATCTGCAAGCAGCAGCTTAGTCATCAGACCCGAACGCATAGTGATTGCATCGTTAACCTCATCTACCATCAAGACATTGGAAACTGCCATCCTACATCTGT